AAATCCAGAAGTAGATATCCTAGAGGGAGAAGACGGAGTGCCTCCTCTAGAACCACTTTCTAGGGAGAAGATAAGCATTGGCTACGCAATAAGGGGTGCTGAATTTGTTAAGCGGGGATGATTTTGATCGCCGGGGTGCTGATTTTGAAAGAATAAGAGGGGATTTTGATGAATGGTTCGGGTATAATCGTCAGAGGGAAGATCGTGATAATTAGGGAGCACCTCCGCTTCGAGGAATGAGAGGTTATGGAGGATTTAGGGGAAATGGGTGTGACCGAAGGGTGAAGAAACTTAAGATGCCAATCTTTGAGGGGTAGGATGTGCACGGGTGGATCTACAAGGTAGAAAGATATTTCATCGTCAATGGGCTGGCAGAGGAGAGACTGATGGCGGTAGGCCTATGTTTAGAAGGGAAGGCTTTGTCTTGGTATCAGTGGAGGGATATGTGACGACCCATACGAAGTTGGAGAGAGTTCAAGGATTGTTTGGTAGAATATTTCTGAACTGGTAGGGAGGAGACTTCTACAAGCAGTTCTTCGCATTTACACAAGATGGTTCAGTGATGGCGTACCAAGAGTGATTTGAGTATCTTGTTAGCCTATTGGACCGCCTTCCTAAGACAGTGCTAGAGGAAAATTTCATGAAGGGACTGACACCAGAGATCCGGGCAGCGGTTAGAGTAATGAGGCCTCATGACTTGGAAGAGGCTATGGAGCTAGTTCAGTTGGTGGAGGATCAGAGGCACCTTGATAGATAAACTAGAGGCAGCAGTTTAAGAGGCTCAAACAGGATGACTACCACCTTTTTGGTGCCCAAGGAACCAACATCGGGTACTCGGCCAGAACCACACGTGCAAGTTTCCCTACATGTGCAAGTCCATAATAACTTGATTTGCGTGAACTAGCAGACCGATCACTAAGTGGGATGCTCCCTCTAGCATGATCTAACCTCTTCAGAATTGGTTAGCATGGGAGCCACTATCCCAGCCCGGATCCAACCAGGTTCTATTGATCATGTCCTCTTCCCTATAGTTATACCTTGTCTTGGGGCGTCTTTGGCTTTACTCGATCAAGCCCTCTTCCACTTGCGCTTTTGGTCAAAAGCAAGCTACTTCTTTCCACATCACTGAGTACTCCGAACTGGTCCTTGCAAAGCCCTATACTTGGCTTGTTCCCTTTTTTCGAATCAAACCAAGGTTTAAAATTGCGTAACTGCGCCTCGAGGCGGTTTTCGTCCGTGAGGCGAGCCGTAAGCCTCAAGGCGGTCTGAGGCGTAAGCCTCACGAATACAAAATTGCGTAAATGAAAAATTAAGGGTTTTAGCAGGAAAATAATAGCAATATTGTACCTTACAATAAAAACATCTAAATTATATATGAAAATAGTGGAAAATAAGAAAGTAAATGCAATAAAATCATGTCCCAAAGTACAAAATCACAAAATATTAGTTTAACAAAACTCTCAAAATACAAAAAACATATAAAATGAAATCATATCCCATCACTAAATGGGTCTTCAAGTGAATCTTCTTCTCCAATTGTATCTATGAATGCCATGTCATCATCATCTTCAACATAACTCACTTTTCTCTTCCCTGTTCATTAAGAGAAAAGAGCATTATCATGTATTCATTTTCATTGCTCACTTGACATAAATGTAATGTAATAGCATATAAGAAGTTGTGGAATACCTTTACTTGATTGTTGTGCTGCAGAGCTAGTGGATGTGTGTGGTGTAGTACTAGTGGATGTGCCAACTTGATCTGCTTTGCCCCTCAAGACATCCACACTTAGATCTTCTAACTGTAAGTCTGATAATGACAAATCTGTCTCATCATCTATGAACCACTCATTATCAGACGACACATCATCACACACCAATGGGTCCTCATCATCCTTCAACCCCTTATTCCTCAACCTCCTCTCTCTCAACCTCTTGTTGTGCATAATATATACGAGAGAGTTCATTCTGAGTGTTGATAGTCGATTTCTTCTTTTTGTTTGCACTTGACTATATGTACTCCAGTTTCGCTCACATCCAGAAGAAGAACAAGTGAGGCCCAACACTCTTACAGCAAAACTCTGTAACTCAGGGGTGGAATCACCAAATTGGATCCACCATTCAACTGTTTTCAAGAAAAAAACATAATCAGAACTGAATAAAGTGTTTTGCATTTACCAAAATAATTATACCTGAAGATCGTTTAGAAATGGTTGCTTTTGCTGCATTCAATCCAAAAAAACCCTCTTTATTCCGGAACAGAACAAGCTGTAAATCATAACACTTTATTCAGTTAGAAGATCTAAGTGTGGTTGCTTTTGTCCGGCACTTTTGCACACGGTGCTACATTTTTGTGCTAGCATGATAGATGTTCCTTCATGCGGGTAACACCTCCCTTTACCACTTTATCGCAAAAATTACATTTCAAATAAACATAGCTCTTCTCTCTGCCGCCAATGTCAACTTGTACACTATATTTCCAAGAAGGGTCCCTCCGCAATGACAAATACCCCTTTTCCTTGCCTCTTACCATGATCCCTAATGAAAGAATCGAAAATTACACAAAAATTTTCAAAAAATCTAAAACCCTAGAATTTCTTTCACTTCAAAAATCTAACCAAAAAGTCAAAAAAAAAAAAACCTAAAATCGTTTGTGGACTTCTCCTACAAGGCGGCCGGACACTTCAACTTCGCCGGAGAGAGGCGGCGGGAAGGATGGCCGAACGTGCGGGAGGGGTTCTGTTCCGCGACTTGGAGCTTGCGGGCGGATGTTTTCGGTAAATGCTGGGCCGAACGGTTTAAGGGAGAAAAAAAGGATTCATTTAAGTAGGGTGGGGCCAACGGGTGAGGCGTATGCCTCACCCATAATTGCGCAATTGAGGCGCGCCTCACACACAGTGTGTGAGGCGTACGCCTCTGCCAGGCTCAAAATTGCGTGCGCCTTGAGGCGCCTTTGGGACGAATTGCGCAAAGGCGCGCCTCTAATTGCCTTTTTTTCTTGATACCACTTTTTGAATCAATCCCCACTTCTCTAGCTATCCTTCTGCTTTCTCTTGTGCTGGCCAGTCTTTTCAAGTTCTTTCTGAACTATCGTTAGGGAGACTTCAAAGGAGAAGACTACCAGAGGAAGACCTAGGGACCAATTCAAGAAGCTCACAAAAACAGAATTATAGGATAAGAGGGCAAAGGGGATCTATTTCAGATGTGACGAGAGGTATACACCAAGGCATCGGTGTAAGGACCAAACTCTTCGGTTCTTACCGTTTGTGATGAAGAAGGAATGGAGGGTGTCGTCTTTTCACCTTGCGGAAAAGGTGGATCTTTGGGAGGGGAGTATTGTTAGACTGGTCCACTGGACCGGTCCAGCCAGTCCAGGCAGGACCGGCTTACGGGCGAAACAACAGAACTCTTCCGCCTCCTGCAGATGTCGTGTGAGCCGCCAAATCAAACGACGCATTTTAGGAAGGATTTTTGAGGGATTTGGGAGGGAAATTTGAATGTAGGGATTGTTTAGGGATTTCCTTTTAATTTGTATGCATTAATTACTTTGTTTTTCTAGGGTTTGGGTATCTTGAATTTGACTGATTTTGGATCTCTTAGGTTTAGGTTTTGGGCTCTAGATTCATCTGGAGATTGGGAGAGATCGATCCTCTTGAATAGAGGATCATTTGCATCTTGTTATTTTCTTCCGATCTATTCGATTTCTTGCAATAAAATTACTGTTTTTCTGGTTTTCATTGTAGTTTGGAAGAGTTTTCTCGCTGTTTTTTTCTTTCTTGCTAGGATTCACTTGAAATCTATAAGAGTTTCCTATCATATTCTTTTAAGGTTTTTTTTGTAGCCACCTTATAAGTTAAACTTTAAGAAACCAAAAGAATTTTTTCCATATTTTTTCATATATTTTATGAGAATTATGATAGTTTTGTTAGGATTGGAGAGGGGAGATTGGAGAGAAGCTGATAGAAATCTTTTGGAGGAATTCGAAATGTTTGTTTGAGGTTTACCATGGTTGTTCTAGCTCAATTTATATTTTTTGATCTTCTAGGTTATTGCAAATGCTCTTGGAGAAGAGGTCTTAAGAGTCATGGTATAAAGACTTCGGATCTTGCCTGAGAGGTTAGGGTGTGAAGGTTTATTGAAGAGAGAAGCAGTGTTGGATAGACTTGGTGTAAAGACTCTAAAAATCTATCTTGGGAGATTAGGGTTTGATGGTGTTTCGAGGATAGAAGCGGTGTATGAGTTTCTCCATTACCCTATGAAGAAAAGAGACTTTTTTGCCTTGCTGGAAGAAGAAAGAGAGTCTAGTGGAATCCACAAGTAGAGGATTTTGGGAGTAGATGTATGTCAAGTTGAAAATTTGGTTTGCTTGTTCTTACTTTTTGTTTGTTTATTTCTTGCAATTTATTTTGTGCTTTGTTATGGTATTGTGGTTGGAGACCTTATTTAAATCAAAGAAAAATTAGTTTAATTTGTGATATATTTTTTGTCTTATTAAAAAAAGGGAAAAAAATTATTTCCATTATGTTTACCCTATTATTTTACTTTTATTTTGAGAAAAAAGTGGTATTTTTATTTATAAAGGAGCTATTGCATAATTAAAAATTTTCAAAAGACAACTCATTTCACTTTCCTTCTTGGGTGTTTTGTACACTTTCAATTGTTATCCAAATACTTTTAACCTTTCCACTACATTCCATGGAATATCCCCACCTTAAAGGAACCCTACAAAAAGTGGATGACTTGGATTATGCCTCGCTAAGGCTAGATTAACTTTGGTATCCGAGCCAAAGTTTGTATTCGTTTAATTTAAGATGTGGTGTGCACCAAGGCTACTTTAATTGGATAATGGGCAAGAACAGCAAAGTTTTTTTCTCCATTAGCACTTGGTCATAAGCTTCCATTAATAGTTGCATACGATACCAGCAAGGTATTCTTGTTAGCTAAAGAATAGCAAAACTTTGAAAGTTCTACAATCTTTCTACCTTTTTGTCAAAATGGCAGGGGTCAAATGGGCTTAAGAGAGGAAGATCAGAGGAAGGCTCAAGACTTGAGGTTACAAATGAATGTTGAAACACATGAATTTAATCCTAATCTTCCAAACCAAGAAACTGGAACAGATATCACAAATGGCATTGCAACTGAAGCAGCCAGTTGTTGTCAGGGCATTGCAGCTTCCAATTGCTGTCAGAATGGATCCTTCAGTGAAAAACCAGATAACCATAGTGTGAATTTGGAAGAGCAGAAAACCCCAAAGTTGCTTCCTGAGCAGAGAAACAAGGATCGTAAGCCTTGCAGCAGCACTCGAAAGATGAGTACTTTGCCAACTTGGTTTGAGAGCTGGGAGCGCGAGGACACTTATGCTGCTTTAGCTGTTGCCACCGCGATTGCATCTGTAGCTGTTGCTTATAGCTGTTATCAACACCTAAGATGAAAAAAAAATCATTTTTTCTGTGATCTATCATAGATGATTAGTGTGTTTCTTAGGCTTTGTTTGTGACGGCTTTATTTTTGCTTCTTAAAGCAGATTTTCAGTACAAAAATTGTACTAAAAAGCTGCTTTAAAAAGCAAAAAGAAAGCCATCCCAAACAAAATCTTAGTAAGCTGCGACTTGCTGTTCTCTGTTTTATAGCCCTACTATGCTTAATTAGATATGAGCAGTTGTTTCATAGTGCTGTAGTTTCAGGTGTTTTATGTTGAACCTTGTGTAGAAGTAACTTATTTAGGGTTCGTTTGGAACGGATTTCTTATTATTTTTTAAAGTGGTTTTATAGTACAAAAATTAAACTTTTTGTACTGTAAAACTGATTTAAGAAACAGTAAGAAATTTGTCCCAAACGAAACTTGAGTGTTTTGTTCTTTGTTGAGAAACAATCACTATCTGCCAAATCATGTATGAAAGTTGCTGAAATAAAGGGTGTGGCACTCCCACTTCTTTGTTTGAAAGAGTCCCCATTACCATTTTAGCTTTTATTTTGATGTTGTGTGCCTTCTCGATCAGTTACAGAATTTAGATAAAATTACATGCATCTTGGTGAGAAAATTTTGATATTTGAAGTATAGATTGTTAAGAGGAGCATGTTAAAAACTTTAGAATCTGATAGAAGTTTTGTGGGTTGAAATTAATGGATAGGTTATTTAGAGGTTATTGGACTCCTTGATTAAATGTTTTAAAGGCTATTAAAGAATTTTAAGAAAATGTTTAGAGTGTTTTTCTTAACAATTTTATTTTTCAAAATGTTTGAAGTTGAACAATCATAAATTGGACAGAAGATAACTTGTTTTTCGAGCATCAACCAAGGGAAGAAGGCTCATGAGGGGTGAGTAGTCATGTCGACTCGTGAGTTGATTTAGGCTTGGCTTGATAAATGACTCGAGTTAAATAAATCAGAGAGTCAAGTTTAAGCTAGTTTTGACTTGATTCATTAGCTTGTGAGCTGGCTCGTTTAAAAAATAATAATATAAAATATAATTAAAATATATTAGGATATATAATTTAAGTATAGAATTGTTAAAAATGTTTAAGAATTATATCTTATTTTCTTATATTAAGTATTTTTTATTTTTTTATATTTTCTCTTTTTTTTATCATTTTATTATAATAATTGGTAAATTATAGTTTTGTTTCTTTCATAATAAATGAGTCAGCTTGATCTCATATAATAAAACTCGAGCTCGAGCTAAAACCTAATTAAATAATGAAGCTTAAGTTCAAGTCAAGGTAACTTGTGCTTGACTTGACTCATTTACAATCCTAGCCACAATTGCTTTGTTATAACTTCATCAACATTAGCTTTACTTATTATGATATTCCCAAAAGCAAATATTATGTCAGTCCTACAACCAAAGGTAATACACATTAAATACATAACAAATACGTAGAAAATATAAAATAAATAAACAATAAATACCCAATAAATACACAATAAATGTGTAGTAAATATACAGGTGATACGCAGTAAATACACAGTTGATACGTAGTAAATGCACATTAAATATCCTTTGGGATAATTCACATTAATTATACATATTTGTCTAAAGAAATATTAAATCAAATTGAGTGGAAAACAATTCATTGATACATTTAATTTTGTCCACATTTATCTATCTAGATTTTCCCATTTTGATAGAAGGTTGGTGACTTACTTCTGTTATCTAGGTACTTGAGTTACTTTAAAGAAGAAAATTTGTTGATCTCTGCCTTTACCTTGAGGGAGGGTTTTTTACATGTCATCTCGTACATCATACTTGCTAATTATTTTCTTCTCCTTCAATTGAGAGATTTCAAGTATACTAATAATTTTGAGCATTTCATCTTATACGTCATAATTCTGAGTATACTAATAACATCGTTGCCCTTATTCTTGCATTGAGTCATAGGCCGATGAGTAAGACCACATACCTCAGTTGATTATTTATCACTAGAAATTTGATTTTGGTGGCTTTAGTAATTATTATTCTAGTCAGTCTCTTTAAAATTATGACCACTCCTATAACATGCTCATTGAGGCTCCATCCACATATAGAATCCAAGACTATTATTGCATTACCGAGGTTTCCTACTCGTCATATAGGACATTAAAGTTTGCCAAGTAGTCTGCTAGTGCCTAGGCTTTAATTGTTGTCCTTGTTGTGTAGATGATTTTGAGCTCATTCAATTCCACTAACCATTTCAACAATTTGCTAAAGTGATATGGCTAGGCGAATATGGATTTGAGTTGATGGTTAGTGACAACTTGAATTGAGTTGGTGCGAAAAATAAGGTCTCAAATGTCATGTTGAGACTACGAGTGCTCATGTGAGTTTCTCCATGATAAGATTCCTTTGATATACTCCTCTTATAGTCTTGCTAGCATAATAGACTTGTTATTATCTCTTTCCTTCTTCTCAAATGAGTAGAAAGCTAATTACATCCTCACCCACTCCCGAGTATAGCAATAAGCCCTCACTAAATCTAGGACTTTAAAATAGGGGCAGTGAGGAGAGAAGTTTGAGTTGCTAAAAAATAGCCTTACATTCGTCACTTGAGACAAACTTCTTAGCCTTCCTTAGAATTTTAAAGAAAGGAAAACAACATTACCTAGCCTATAACTGAAGTGGTTCAACCTTGTGACTGGGTGGAGTGGGTAATTATCTTTTAGGCATGCTAAGTTGAGATAGGTGAAGTCAATGAACACTCTATTTTGCCGTCACCATCTGTACCAGTCAGGGTACCATACCTCTCTCTTATGAAGTCATCAGTAAGAAACTTCTTCAATTCTTGCTTTACTGGTTTGACAAGCATTGTTTCAGTCTTCTGGATCTTTTGTTTAATGGGCATGACATCATTTCTCATATTGAGTTTATGGCAAGCGACTTCTTCATTAATGCTTACCACTCGATTGTTCTCCACTCAAAGACATCAAGATTGTCCCTGAGGGCTTGGACGAGTTCACCTCAATACTACAAACTAAAAGTGGTGCTTATTCTCATTGTTCATTTAGACTCACCATTTATCACTAGGCCCTCCTCCACTTCTTATGTAGTCTCTATACTTGGACAGGCTCCTTATAGGGAGCTTACCACTTTTTGTAATACTTTTACATAACAAGTGCAAGACTGCATGAGGTAGCCTCTCACGATGATCTCATAGTCACCAATAGAGAATTTTAATGTGATAGAGTTAACTACTCTAAAATGATTCAAGAGAGGACTCCCAAAGTTTGCATTGTATGTGGTAGGAGTATTGATTATGATGAAGTTTGTCATAGATGTGTACTACTATTCGCCTTCTCCCTAACTGATAAGTAGGGCAAGTACTCATGTTTCTCAGCACTCTCCCAAAAAATTGTCTTGGGAGCCTATAATAAGAGTAATTTGAAGCAATAAGATTAATTCATAAAAAATGACTTCTAAATGATGTTAACAAGGTCCCTGTCTTAATTAACATGATAAAAATCTTATAGTTGATGTCTAAGATAGTGACGACCATTATTTCATTATAGGGGTTCCCTTTAAACGACCTATCTGCTTCACAGAGGCAATGTCCACTATTGATGCTTGTGAAGTGAATGATAAGTTGACTTCTCTGACTCAAAACCTCCTGGTCTTTGTATAAGACTTAGCTCGCTCACCTCCCATGATTACGGGCACCACTCTAGCCATACGAATGGAGTGAGAAAGGAGAAACATATTCTCGCTACTTTCCATTATGGCCTTTCCAAGATGCTGATTAGGATCAATGAGTATGAACTTTTTCAGCTTCTCGATCTTGATGAGATCTTTAATTAGTCTATGAGGATGACAACACTTCTCCATGTAATGATTGTGATCTTTGTGAAAGGTGTAATACCTTGATGTATTTTTGGCATGTGCTCCCATCTTCATAGGCACTTAGTACTTAAAGAACTTCTAGCTCAACCATTAATACTCGTAAGAAGGGGAGGGGGTGTATATAGGGTAGGTGGGGACATGATGCTTACCTTCCTCTGGTAGGGTTGAGTGGCACGAGCAACTCCTCCACCATTGGCTTGGGTAGTCTAGCGATCCTAAGTGTCCTGGCTAATAGATGTGTTCTTTGGTGCTCTGAGCGATGATGATATCACAACATTATTGGCCTCCTATCTCTTTGATATCTTGGGTGACTTCTCTCTCACTCCCTTCCTCATTGCCTATCTCTCTTCGTGGCGAGATCTTGTGGGTGAGTGGATGAACGAGGCTCAACAAGTTGATTATACTCTTATGTGTTAATATGGTTGTTGGTGAGCTTGAGTAATTTATCCAACAACCATGGTTGTTATAGGCCAAATGCATAATAGAAAGGACCTTCCCTTAGTCCTTATATCAAACTAGCTTGGGTGATGGCCGGCTCTAAGTCTTTTACTTTGAGCATCTCTCTTTGGAATCTAACATGAAACTTCTTAGTGATTAGCAAGGTTTTTGTCGCATCTTGATGAGAGCTTATGAGCACTTATTGGGTCTTTGAGCACTCAGAAATTGGATTACAAGCATGTTTTTTTACTCCACAAAAGAGGTGTTCACTCCCAGTGGTAGGCAAGTGATCCATCTCAGTGCTAACTCCTTAAGAGTTGTAAGAAGAAATAGGAATTTCTAAACATTGTTGACATCCAACAACGATGTCATGGACTCAAAAGTCTCCATATGATCCATTGAGTTAGTCCTATCCCTATAGGACTTTAGATGAGGCATCATGAATTTGGAAAGTAGCCTTGCCTCTGTTATCTCCTTAAAAAATGCAATGGGTAGTTTAGGCTTAGCACTTCTCACGTTCTGGGACAGTAGGCTAAACTCTTCATCATCCGTTACAGTGCGAGTCGGATCTAGATTGGGTGGGTCAATGTTATATTCTCCGACCTCCTACAATGAACAACCAAGTTAGAGGATCCTTCAATGGTACTCTCTCTTAGTGGATGCCTTGATACCCTGCTAAGGCTTCTTGGATCATTTTCTTCAACCTTTTCATCATTTCCATAAGATAATGATTGTAAGTATAGTTTAGGTTTCCATGTTCACATATTGTTCGGGGTTGGCTAGCACGTTAAGTTGCACCTATCTTCTTATCACCAACATCAATCTACGATAATCATACATTTTAGGACGTTGGATCTAAATTTATTTGTGGGTGATACATCACCTTACTAGCAGACAAGCTAAGAAGGCTAGTAGGACCTTAGAATGTATAGCGAGCATGGAAAGAGAAAAAGAAAATTTCGAAGAAATATATCATAGACTTAATAGTCCCTTCAAATGGTGTCGAAGGATCCTAAATATGTCTATTCATCTTTTATTTTTAGGGATCAAAGGGTTATAGTGAAAGCTACATAAACAAATAACAAAAAATATAATAATAAATGACCAATAGTATGGATTGCCCTATACACATGTTATACTTTGATAGGCTCTGTGAACTATTGTCTTTTTAGTTTAAATTTTTAGCCTTAGAGCTAGTCCCCTTATGTTGAGCATCCAGGGCGAGTGCATGGAGGCAAGTTCACTGATGAGGGCCAAACTAAGAGGAAGGTTGTTGACGAGTCCTTTAGAGGCGTTGGCAACTTCTTGAATGGAGTCCTTGGAGTACTTTGATTTGAAGGGCGAGTTTGCTTGAGTTTAGAATCTTGTGGGCTCTGTGGTTGGCTGAGTGTGGCGAGGCAAGATTGAATCTTCTCAGGAGGATCATCCCTTGTAGCTAGGATGATGGAAATGTTTCTCCAGCATTGCACTTCTTGGTTTGCTGCAGTTCAAAGAAGACCAAATTAAATAACAGCATAATAAACATTGCTGCAAAAGATACCAAACATTTTGGAAATCGTTGCTTGTCTGAAACTTTAGGTGGTAATCAAATGCTAATCTTAAGTTATCGCTCTCTTCTTCACCATCGATCATGACAAGAACAAGATCCATCCCTGAAATGATGAAATCTTAAGTTATCCCTCACAGTAACACCCACGCCCAGAATCTTAGACATGAACTTGATAGCATTGTGACAGTCCCCACATATTCTCAAGTTCTTAAACACCCTTATAACTGATTCTCCATTCAGGTTCATAGCTCCAAATGCAACTGCAAGCCTCTCACTATGACTGCACAATGCTTCCTCCATTTCCTCACCTTTAACATCCTGCAACACAAAATCTATATCTGGTTTATAACCTTCAAGCTTCATCTTCTTTCCTATCTTCTCCAAGAAACCAAATATCTCATCTCTAAAGAGCATTTTATCATCATCTTTGACAAAAGTATACACTTTGTTCTTGATCTGAATCCAACTGCGACCGGGAACCTTTTTAACTCCTCTATCTCTCATCAGTTTTCTAATCTTTGAAGCTTCATCAAATAACTTGGCATTCATGAGTATGTTTGAAAACAAGACATAGTTTCCTGGATTCTCTGGTTCAATCTCAAACAATCTGTCTGCTGAAATCTTTCCCAGCTCAACATTCTTGTACAATCTACATGCAGCAAGCATAGCTCCCCAAGCACTAGCCTTTGGTTCCATTGGCATCCCTTGAATGAACTCATAAGCCCCTTGAAGGTGACCTGCTCGACACAGGACATCAACCATACAGGAATAGTGCTCAGCATCTGGTTGAATCCCAAAATCACGACTCATCGCGCTGAAAATCGATCGTCCCTCTTCGACAAAAAGAGAGTGGCTGCACCCTGACAGAACACCCATGAATGTCATGGAGTTAGGCTTCATGCCTGACTTTATCATTTGATGATAAAGACATATAGCATCCTCCCCACAACCGTGCATGGAGCTCGCAAAGATCATTGCATTCCAAGCAATGACATCTTTATGTATCATCTGGTCGAATACAAGCCTAGATTTCATTAAATCCCCACATTTAGCATATAAGAGAACTAAGGCAGTCAAAATCATCTTATCCTTTATGAAACAATGCCTGTATGTATATCCATGAATCTCCCTTCCACCTCTTATATTCTCCATATTGGAACAGGCAGGCAACACAGAGGCTATGGTGATCTCATTTGCCCTGAAACCTGAATGCTGCATCTGAGCAAACATTTCAACTGCTTCTCTAACTCTTCCATTCTGTGCAAATCCACTAACCATGCAGTTCCAGGAAGCACAATTCATTTGATCTTCTACAGATTTCATCTTTCCAAATAACTCTAAAGCCTCTTCTGAGTTCCCAATTGAGAAATAAGATGACAACATTGTATTCCAAGACACAGTATCCCTTTCCAGTAAACCATCAAAAACAGATCTCGCAAGCCGCAGATTTAACGATTTGGCATACATATTGATTAGTCCACTGCTCACCCAAACATCTTCTTCAAACCTATTCCTTAGTGCAAAGCCATGAATCTCTTTTCCTAAGTTGATAGCTTTCATTGCTGAACAAACAGGCAGGACTGTGCACAGAGTTACAGAATTGGGCTTCATACCAGATATCAACATTTCACGAAAAACTTGCAAAGCTTCTCCTGATTGCTTGCAGTTTGCATGAGCTAAAATAAGCGAAGTCCAGCTAATCACATCTTTACCAGAGATTTCATCGAAGACACTAATGGCTTCCTCAATTAACCTACACTTCCCATACATATCAATGAATGCATTACCAACAAGTAGATCCGAGGCAAGCTTGAATCGAATTGCATCGCTGTGAAGTTCTTTAGCTTCGAAGGTATCCAAGGAAAGTGAACAAGCTTTTGCCACTGAGAGTATAACATATCGATCTGGCTGGAGATTCTTCTCTTTGCAGAGCTTTCTGTAAAGAGCAATGGATTGTTTGGGCCGGCCGTGCTTCGAGTATGCAGATAATAAGAGTGTTAACGCGCGGAGATCTGGGTTGGGAATTTTGTCAAACAGTTTGCGTGCAAGGTCAAGCTGGCCGGAATGCAAGTAACTACTGAGAGACTTCATGATAAGCTGGCGATCTGGGTTTGGGCTTTAATTCTGCAAAAAAATCCTCAGCCGTGGTGGAGAGTTGGTTCGGAATTCTGTTGAGGCGAGAAAAGCAACGGGCAAATTTTAGTTTTATTTTCAAATTATGGCGGCGGTCAACGGTAACGAGAGTTTATGGGCTAAGAAAATTTCAAATTTTGAACTGGTTTACGTTGAAAAAAAAAACGGTCCATTGGGTTAGATTTATGAAAAGATCTATATATGACTCATTGTTTAAAAGATAATTTTTAGTCACATACTTCACAATGCATAGTTCATCATTTGACCCTTCACCCTTCAGATGATTTGGTGTTATGAATCTTCAATTGCCAACATTTGAATATGCAACATACTTTGGGTGGCATGGATTAAATTAATTGTTATTAGGTGGATTTTCGTACATATCACAAAAGTCATATATATAAATCATTATGCTTATATTACACTTAAATTATTAAATCAAATCAATAATATTATTAATATAGTCGTGTCATGTAATATTCGTGGCGGTAGAGAGATAAAGATCTTAGCATTCTAGCTTTGAATGAAGATTCATCACACATATAGATAAAGAGAATGTGGTGCAACTTTGAACAACAAATCTTGCTTTGTAACTATAGTAAAGTCTATCGTTATGTTCTTTAGAAACAAAATAGAACTAATGGATAACAATAGCAGTAAACACTAAACACAGAAATCAAATTGCTGATAGCCATATCAATTTAATATTAGGGTAAATTGTTTCAAAAGAAAAAAGAAAAAAGAAAAACGAATCCAATACAAGCAAGCAAAATGTTTATGAAAAAATGGAATGAGAAATAGACAAACAACAAGCAGATCGAAGAATTGTCTCACCTTGGTGCTTGCTCCCTCGGAGGCGGAGGAGTGTAGCTCAGAGTTGATGAAGGAAAAGGCCTGTGGGAAGGAAGCCGTAAGCGGAAGGTTATAAGGCCAAGATGAGGAACCATTGCCGCCACTGATGCCGAACACTTCCTAGTTGGAAGGGATCTCTTGGCTTCGCGAACGAGCAAGAGAATAAGGGAAGAAGATGCAAACCGTCGAATGAATGGTAGGGTTTTGTATTTCTTCTATTTCATATAAGCTTCCTTGAGTCGTCCAATCTTCAGCGAAAGGTTCAAAATTTTTTGCAGATGAATCGTCTAGTTATCGTAAACTGGGTCAGGTTTTACGGTTCGAACCGTCAGTTCGAACAGTTTTGAGCCGGTTCTATGCAATACTGGTTTTGAAGCAAACCGAAATCGGCCGGCCGGCCGATTCAAGGTTAAACCGGTCTAACCGTCTGGTCCGATTTTTAAAGCCATGGTTTAGAGCGACTATAGTTGGCAAATGTTAGAGGGATAGTAGTCGGTGGGAGATCAGAGGAACCTAAGTCGGCGGGCGATGGTGGTCAGAGGGATCGAAGTCGGCGGTGGTCAGAGGGACCGAAGTCGGTGGGTGATGGTGGTATGAGGGACCAGAGTCAGCGAGCGACAATGGCTGTAACGACGGGATTCGACCGGTGATGACATTTGTAGGACAGTAGTCGGCGGGAAACGGTGGTCTGAGGGATCGTAGTCGGTGGGCAACGGAGGTCGTGGGAGACTATAGTCAACAGGTGGCAGAGGTCAGTCGAACCATAGTCAGCAGGTTATAGATGTCGAAGGGACGGAGGGACCAGAATGCACGTCTATGGTGGTCGAAGGGACTAGAGTTAGCAGACGATGCTGGTTGTAGGGATCAAAGTAGACGAATAATAGAGGACGGAGGGACCAAGGTGGGAAGGCGATGGAGGTCGGCGGGACTGTAGTTGGCGGCTGATGTTGGTTTGAGAGACCATGGTCAGCAAGCGACAAAGGCCAGAGGAACCGTAGTCGGCGGATGATGGTGGTCAGAGGGACTGTAGCCGACGGTTGACGATGGTCGGAGGGACTGAAGTCGACAAGCAATAGAGATCGGAGGGACTGTAGTCATTGGGAGATGGAGTTCGAATGGATCGTAATCGACCGGTAATGGTGTTCGGAGGGACTAAAGTAGCCAGGCCACGGTGGTTCGAGGGACTGTAGTCAGTGGGTGTCGGTGGTTAGATAGACTGAAGTTGGCCGATGACTGTAGTCGGAGGACCAGAGTTTACGAGTAATGGTGGTCAGAGGGACCGTAGTCGATTAGCCATGAAGGTTGAAAGGATCATAGTTGGCGGGGGACGGAGGTCAGATGGACCATAATTGGTGGGTGATGTTGGTTTGAGGGACTGTAGTTGATAGACGAAAGTGGTTGTAGGGACCATAGTCAACGGGTAAGGGTGGTTAGAGGGTATATAGTCGGTGGACGATGGTGGTCAGAGTGATCATAATCGGCGGGCGAAGGTGGTCAGAGGGATCATAGTTAGCATGCAACAATGGTTAGAGGTACCGTAGTCAACTTGCGACAAAGGTCGGAGGGACCATAATCAGAGGATATAGTGATCGGAGGGACTATAATCGGCATGCGGCATTAGTTGAAGGGATTGTAGTTGAATGACAATGGTGATCGGAGGGACCGGAGTCGACGAGCGATGGTGGTGGGAGAGGTGATAGTTGACGAGCGATATTGGTTGGAGGGATCGTAGATGAAAGGAGATGGTGGTCAGAGGGATCATAGCCGGTAGGTGGCAGAGGTTCTATAAAGGCCCAATGATGGCTACTAGATAGAGTTACGATGATGATGGTAGGATAGAGGTCCAACAATGGCGACCTAGTGGTGCGGGTTCACCAGCAGTGGTGCATAGGTGGAGCTCTGATATGGTTTAAGCCTTAGAGCTCTCTTGAGTCTCTAGTCTAGGGTCTAAGCTCCCCTACCCCCTGGGTCTATTTATAGATTTTGAGTGTGATATTATAATGCTACATAATTAAATTTAGAAGAATTATCTATTTATTATTTTAATAATATACGAGAGCTTCTATATATTATCAATATAATTAAGTTTCCAAAGGAAGGCAACTAATAATCATATATCTTGAAATATTACATTATATTCATTCTCTCAAAATCAATATATAATAACTGGGAGATCAAAATAATTACTACTCAATCACAAACTCCTAAGTATAAAAGAATAATGAAAAATATAAACAAAATCAAAAGAAAACCTAAGAATCTCTATTAATCTCACTACAACTGGCCATGATCGCTTTCCTAACCTAGGTGGAGCTCTGGCTTGCTTTAAGCCTTAGAGCTCTCTTGAACTCTAACCCAAGGTCTAAGCCTCCAAAGATCTTAACTCCTCCTATGTCCCCTTCATGTATAGAGTGGGGGTTTATTTATAGATTTTGAGAGAGTCATTATAACGCTCCAGAATCAAATTAGAAAGAATTATATATTTATCATTTTAATAATATACTAGAGCTTCTATAAATCATCAATACAATCAAATATACAATGAAAACAACAAATAATTGTATATCCTAAATTATTGCATTATATTTATTCTTCCAAAATCAATATACAATAACTAGGAGATCAAAATAATTACTTCTCTATGATATACTCCTAACTACAAAAGAATAAGAAAAAAATATAAATAAAATAAAAAAATTTTGAGGATCTTTCTCAATCTCACTACAACTCATCCTAACCCCTTTCCTGATCTAAAATCATAAAAAAGAATCATATAATGAGTAGAAAAGCCTAACAAGTAACAAAAAATATATCACTACTTTTAATACATAACAAAAGCATTAATATGTGTATGTTCAATTCTAGTCAATATCAATCATTACAATATGATAAGTTACAAAATAAGCTATGCTAGTATGCTATGTTATATTGTATCAATATTAATATAGGTACTATTTTAGTTATATCAATCAATTAGTTAATATATTATCATATAAATATGATCATTAATATAATTATGAAAAAGCAAGATAGGAAAATTCAGCTTTAATATGGTGTTTTCTTCATACATCTGTTATCTGTCATAACTATCAATTTGTCAATCTAATTTTACCTTTCATTTATTTTTATTAATCATGTATTTTCACATATGATTTTCAATAATCATTTAAGAGCCATCACCCTCTACCTATCAGCGTAATTCAGTCAATCAGTTAGAGGCTACAACTATGATTACACCACCAACCTTTTATTTAAAAGAAAGCCCATCAAGTATTATATTTTAAAAGTCAACTCGTATTCATTATAGTGTTAACAACTAGAATTCTCTTGCTTACATGCAAATACTATCTTTTCTATGCAATGCAAGTCAATATCATGTATGAAATGCAAAAATTTATAAATATAAGAAAATATATAAAATTTATCTACTACGCATTTGCTTCAAAAAATTATTAGTTTCAATTAAACTAATAAAAATTCAATATATTCTAGCCAAAATCCTCATATTGTAGAGATCTAACACATATCAAAAGTTATGTGATGAAAGTTTTACAAAAATAAAATTATCTTTCTTTTTTTGTAACGAAAATATAAATTTGATAAAAAATAACAAAAACATCAAATTATTAAAATTAGAAATAGGGTAATGGTTCTTTAAAATGAGATGGACAAATTTTCAAACAGGGTCGACGGACGAAAATTACTCTACAACCTCTAAATCTTATTTTATGTTCTCTCTCCTATATTTCTCTTTGATTTTGGGTTTCAGTTTCTTTTCAGATAGGGAAAAATAAAATAAAAAAACTTTTAATAAAGACTCTTGAGTGGCATTAGATGTTTATATTAAAATAATAATAAATTATTAATATAATTATATAATTTACCTAGTTTTTAATATAAAATTCATATAAATCCTTTTGGGACTTTAAAAATTATAAAAAATATTCATAAAATAGCTTATTTTATTTAAAACATACTGATAAAATCGATTTACAAAACATACACGTGACAGTCCCAAAATTCTCACTTTTATTGACAAGTGCTAATTTCTTAAAGATTTGCATAAGTGCTCAAAAACTACAAAAAAAAAATAGTGTAATTAAAACACAATAATATCTATCTTATGACGAATATGATTTAAGATTTGAACTTAAACTGAATCATAGTTTTTTTATTTGGGTCAAAATACATGCTATTATATACATCATTCAAAAATATGAAGAAGTTCCAGAGCAAATTCGGAATGTTCGATCGGATTGTTCATAATGATTCTCTCGATTATAAAGAATT